GCATGCCAAGTGATATTGAAATCAGACCAAAACTATAGGAGGAGTAGCACTTTAAAAGTATTTCACAATTTTTTTTTTATTTTTAGTGAGCACGGCAACATCGTTTATCGAAATCAAAAACTGATAAACAGAATTATGTATCTTAGTGTTGTCTACTTGTGTGTCAAGTGATATTGAAATCAGACCAAAACTGTAGGAGGAGTAGCATTTTGAAAAATTGTTTCTAGACAGACAGAGACAGACAGACGGATATATACAGACAGACAGACAAACGACGGATGCATTACTATCACATAAGCTCTTCTTGTCTCTGACCAGCAGAGCTAAAAATCTAAAACATAATTATTTTGATAGACTCGTCAATTGTATTTTTTCATTTGCATCCTTGATCACAGAGTTAATTGTTCGTACTTCCGGCGTTTGTTGATGACGTATACAGTAACTACCAGTCCGACAACAAGGAGACATCCTCCACCTGCTGCTCCTATAGCGATGTACAGTATATAATGTCTGTCTTTTTCTTTTTCACAATTGACTGCCGCTATAAAGAGATTTGAACAATACATTGTAAATCAGAATTTTTTTGCACATGTATTAATATACTCACAGTCAACAGAAACGCAACAACCTAATTTCAGAGTGAAAATTACATACGGTTTATAACTATGTTCCAAAAAAGTTAGGATATCTTTTACTTTGCCAAATTAGTTATTTTACGGTTGAACGATATTCTTTCCATTACCGGAAGTTTCTTTTTAGCCCTCTTAACAGGAATCAAAATTTTGCATTTTTGATAAAAATTTTTAACAATATATTAATGGTTTTCAAGGTTTTGTACCTGTTAATCATAAGTATTGTACTAAAATCCCGGGGGAAAATCCTTCTTTCTGTAATGCCTATATTTCCTCAAAATGTTTAACAATTGTATTTCCAGTTTGAAGACCCTACTTTGGATACCAATACATGTATATTAAATTTGCATTTACAAAAAGTTTAATCTTCACTATGTTGCCATACGGGGGCATCAGTGATTCACAAACATAATGAGTTGACATATCCTAAAAGGGGTCTTCCTGTAACATACACGTCGTCAAGAAGGAAAAGTAAATTTTAAGGTTACAAATTTATAGTGTCCAAAAAGGCATCTATCGCATAACAGATTGTATTCTTGAAATTTAAATTTCTCACTATAAGATACTCTGTATGATGCATTGGTAGGAACTTCTTAATTCATGCCTATTCTTTTTTTTACCTTTTAAATATTTCTTTAAATTTCAATTCATACAGCTTACCACTAAAGTCTGCCGTGTCCCCAGTTTTGAAAGCTTGGTACTGAAGGTCTTTGGTAACCATAGATAATCCATTTTGAAGTTGAAAGGTAGTTTCTTTCCTGCACTTGTAGCTTTTGTTATTATGCGTTGTAAGTTTTCTAAGATCGGCAGCAACAACTGACATCTGTTTACCAAGAACTGCAAATAATTTGGGTTTTTTTCTATACCTGCATGGTCTAACAGTTATTGATTATAATTATTTAAATATATAATACTTAATTGTCATTTTCTTCTTTTAATCGCTCATACTTCACTGTAGAGAGTGTGTTGTACTGCACCATTTTCCATACACTGGTCAAAATTCATTTTGATGTTACCTGTTTCAAATTCTTAATATCAATTCTTAACAAACGTGTTTGAAGAAACTTACTGCTATCGACTGCATCCTTAAAGAGGATGTTGTTGTAGTCATACTTCAGCTCTATTTGTGAGATATAGTAGTTATCAACAGCAGTCCCAGCGGATATTACATCTGTCTCTTGATTCTTTTCAGATGAGAAGTAAATTGTCAAGGTCCAGGCATCGTAAAAGCGAATGACCATTTGCTGAGAGTCGAGTCCATTCAGAGTTGTGTTGCATTCACCAGACACATTGTACACTGCTGGCAGGGAAACCGCTTCTGTGGCTATCTAACATTATAAAAATAACATCCATCATATATACACCCGAATCTTTCGATTACATGGACATACAAATAGATGTCTTCAACTTTTAACACTTCAATAAAAATCTATTATCTTATTTATAAGATGTGCTTGTGAAACACTGTGCCCCGATGATAACATAATTCTAGAGTGGAACGTAGATTGAAGTGATATACACTTACCCTTGACAGCACAATAGTTATGGGATAGATTAAATATGACAACAGACAGACAGAAAAAACAATATTCACCGGGATCTTTCATTCCGAGAAAGGAAAAATTCGAAATTCTAGGTGAACAAGTGTATTTGTGATCTAACACTTACACCAGATTTCGAAATATAAGGAATATAGAGCTGGATGCTTCCTTTAAATACAACACAGGTATTGTTTCCATTCAATACAGAATACATATTAACAGGAGAGCGATCTGGAGCTGGAATGGGTCCAAAATCTACCTCACAATTTACTCCTAAAAGAGAATAGAACTAATAAGATAAAAATTAGTACAGTGTATATACGAAGATATTTGCAAGATCCAGTAAATGTTTAAGTCGTTTTTGATAATGGGTTCAAATCGAAAAAAATCAATCACAGAGATTATTTAACTGTGCATTTGACAATCAGGTATATCACTATGAAATGAACCTTCATCTTTTTTAAACCTATCGTTTATTCAAGTTTGCGAAATATTTACCATTTTCTGAAAACTTTCCGTCCTCGACATTAAAGGCCTGTACTTTCAACTCTCTGTACATGAAGGACAGTTTATTATCCGAAAAGTTTCCCTCTTTTTCACACTTGTAATATAACTTAGGACTACTTGAAAAGTCCACCTTATTAGTCACTAAGTGGTTGACCTCAGCTGAAAAAATATACATCATAATAACATTCATACATGTATTTCAATACTGCACTTTCTGTGTCATGATTGTACCGTTAACATAAAAGATAAAACATATAATATGGTCATAGATTCCTATTTATGTCATAAACTACTGAACTAGAAAAAATGCTATTGGTAATCTAACAACCCAGCTTTATGAAATCATTTCAATCGTCCAAGTCCCTTACATATGCAGCAATATGCCATTATCACTTGCATACGGGGTTTTATCTCTGGTTGGCAGGGGATGATCACCCCTCTTTGGCACCTGATCCCACCTCTGATATCTTAGAGGCCGGTGTTTGGTCTGTTACTGATTCGTGTCGTTTAATAGACTTTTCAGCTTGCTTAAATTAAGTACTATGCATCATCTCCTTATATCGGGTATTCTTTTTGAAATCACGCATATTTATACATATAAAGATTAGCTACTAGATACAAGTTTTCAATGCCCTATTGAATGTATGTTTACAGTTCAAGATCTTGAACTTCTTTAGGGAAACTTTTTCCGACTTGCTATTTTAGTTGCAGAGTGCTTGGTCTAAATTATATTAAGCCAGTGACATAATTCATTCGATCTCTTTTTTTAAGTACAATGTACTCGTAACATAGACGTATAAATTTGAATTACATGTATATACAAAATCTAAAAATTGTAAATTATGTGACTTTTGTCTCACTGCCAGTGCTCATAGCAAAGTTCATCACGATTATTTCCAGTTTACTATGGTAACAACTAGTAATTTCACCTTTACAGGAGCTTTAGCTAACCGTCAGCCATATTGAGGTAGGTACATGACTAAAATCATTTGTCTACTTCATTACTAGTATTAAGAAAATGACAAATTACTGGAAATTTAAAAACAACCAAAATAAGAAACGTTATGGATTAAATCCTTAGACTATTCAATCCATTTGATTAAAAATAAGAACTTCATTCTTTGTAGATAGCCCGTTACTGGTTGTTCTGTTGATACTTACGTTCCATGGCATCTGAGATCTTCACATCAGCAAACAAAGATATAAGGTTTGATTTTCCGTTCATTATTTCAAAATTAAATGTCAATGATGGAATTCCTGCATCTCTTGATGCGATAGTGAGACCAGAAAAGTTTTCATTTCCACTGGCACATGTTCCTGTAAGGGTGACATCACTGCTGACTGGAACATCCACAGTTGTACTAGCTTGTATAATGAATGAACTTATTTAAGGAATAACTGTCTTATTTTTCGATTTCATGATGTGATCAATCGATTGGCTTGCGTGATAATTTTGCATAAAATTTTCACGCAAGCCAATCGATTGATCTTCGTCATGAAATTGAAAAATCTGACAGTTATTTCTTATATTTACATGCTTTGATTCCGCCAATCCACGTGCTCCAAGCCCTGTCTAGCTATTTGTCCCGCCCTGCACGTGATTTTTTAAGCGCGCCAATACATTGAAGGGTAAATAAAGTACATTTAAAATTTGTAATTTATCTCGGATAAAGACATTGGAAATGTAAATATTACTACATTACATAGATGCAAATTCAGTTTTGCTCAGTGAACAAAAGGGACAATTTAATTTACTGGTCCGCAACATCTCAATCTTGATTTAAGGGGATTTGTATGATACGTTTTTTGTATATTCTAATAAAAGATTTCTGCCTGATCCATCATAGTGATCTGTTGTCGTTAAGCATAAGTTTTTCATTTTTTAATTTTATGTTGTTTCACCAAGGTCTTTCAGATGACCAAAATCTGATGGATACCATTTACCTTAAATACGGAGAGCTCGTACTGTTTGTAAAAATGTGAAGCAATCCTACATAACAAAGCTCAAATTATTTGCCCTGGTAATCATGTTTACATGTACAGGGTGTTCTACAAGTTACATGTTCCAACTTTGCAGTCTCCGAAAAAGTTAGATAAAATAAAAGTTTGAGAAAGGAAATTTTGCGTAAAACCTAAAGAGCATAAGAAGCACACAGTAATTCAATTTTTTTGTTGTTATATTGATATTTTACCATTGTGAGAAAAATTATAAAATCCATTATATTGGGACATTCTTTGACATGCTCTCTATAAACATGAGGTTCAATTAAAATTTGATCTTACCTATAATCTTCTTTAAGGATTCTAAACAAAATCTTACAGATTTATTCTCCTTTGTCATGTAGGTCACTTTAAGCTGGAAGCGTCCCTCCAAGATGAGACAAACTTTAAAATTCTCAATGACTTCATATCTGGACTTTGGGGGAAATGAAGGATTTGGAGATGAAGTGGGGACTGGTGTTTGTTTTGTTGTCATATTAGATGGACCCACTGTTGTTGTATTAGATGGTCCAACTGTTGTTACATTAGATGCTGATGGTTCTGTTGTGGGTTTAGCGGGTTCAGAGGTCACTGTTGTTTCTTGTGCTACAGTTGTCATCTGATCAGCACTACACACAAACACTGAAATACAGCGTGAAAAAGTTAAAATATTTCCTTCATTTGTCTAAGATCAACAGCATGGATTAGAACTTATATATTACAATATCTTTTTAGGTATAAATTAATAGAAAAAAATGTACCTTAATTATAAATGCACCGAAACCGAAACCCCATTTTTGTTAATATATTCTAGTGAAGGATTTGGAGATAACGAACAGTATTAAAGATCAAATATTCATAAAACAATACAAAATATGAGCAGAGCAAAGTAAGGGCCTCCAAAACATCAGAGGTGGGATCAGGTGCCATGGAGGAGTGAGTATCCCCTGTCAACCGGTCACACCCGCTGTGTAGAATAAGATACGTATTAAACAGGTCGTTATTCCAAATTATTAAATGATAAGGAATTTTGGTGCTCTCTGATTGGTCCAGACGCAATTTACTGGTGTGTACCTCAGAGTGAGTTCACCTCAAATGACGTTCTGTGAGGTTTATTCGGGTTTTCCCTCCCGACCAACCATAGATTTGCTTACATCTTTTTCGACCAATCAGATTGCGTGTGTCGGTGTGAATGTAAACATGTCAGACGCCATTACCAAGGAGATTAAGAACTTTTGAAAGTAAATGGTTGAGTATTTATTGTTTATTAATATTGTTTTTAACTTTTTAACTAATATTTGTTTAGCTGTTGAAGTATATCAACATGTAAAAAGTGTAATTACACTTTACATTATGGATGTTTATATTTGATGGAGACAAGATTGAAAGAGTCAGCAGTATTGTTAAATTCCTCATCATTTAATAAAACGGTTATTGACTTTTGAATTCGGTCTACTCGTGACTATACAGACCTGGTCAGGTATTGGTTAACCCCGGCCTTCGGTCTCGGTCAACCAATACCTGACCAGGTCTGTATAGTCACGAGTAGACCTCATCAAAAGTCAATAATTGTATATAATATATGAAATACTAAGTATTGTTGTTTAAACAAGATTCAACAAATTACTAACACGGCTTTAGCTCTACTGGTGTCTATTTGTATTAAACAAAAGAAATATATATATATTAGTTTGCGGTAATTGAAAAAATACTAATAAAAAATGTGTGGTCTAATTAATTGTGAAAATTTTAAAACGTATTTTAGAAGATGTTCCAGATAAAAAGAATACCAAAGATCTCATGTGTAAAATTCTAGATTTTTGAATTGTGTATTAACATCTTACCATCAGGGCTGAGCTTTCCATTTGTTATATTAAAAGCCTGTATCAGTACATTAGACATGTCCATGTACATTGTATAAATGGTTCCTTCCAGAATTCCACTTAATGCCATTCTCTGGGAGGATTCACACTGGTAAAGCTAGGTGATTGATCCAAGTTTCAAGTCTCCAGTGTCCAACAAATTTGTTTGAGCTGTAATTTTTATCGAGTAATATTTTTGTAATAAAAATGGATGAAAAAGGTGAAAAGTTTCCACATCTTTTCCATCTGTATATTAATTGATTGCTGTAAACAAAGTATTATACGCGTCAGCCTTTATTTGTTTGTTTATTTGAAATTAATACGCGACGATGAATTTTCGCGACTGTGGAAACTTTTTAAAATAAATGGTTTGCGGCGATTAATATTGGTGATTTAAAATAGGTATCGCACGCGAATAAAACTTGGTAAGAGGTTGAGTGGTGTCAATATTTCAACTTACTTGCTATGGGAGTTCCTGGAAAGAATTCGAAAGGAGCAAATGTAAACATCGAGCTCATGTTCACTGATAAATCAAGTTGAACACTGAAAGTCAAGGCCAGAATGTCTTCATTGGAATTTGTCACATCCAATACTGCCTGATATTCTCCAATAGTTGCACAATCCCCATTCTTCACAGTGAAATTAGTTCCATCAAAATTTACTTCTTCCTCTCCATTACTCAGAGTAAACATAACATCCATCTTCTCGTCAATACAGGTTTCATTGTTGTCATACATGTATTTGTATTCTGATCCTTGTGTCAGTGATAATGCTTAATTTGTTAAAGTAAAAAGAAAATGTATAATAGTTAAGACCAAAGCCAAATTTGCAATATTAAAAAAAATGGAATAACTACATGTGATATTAAAAAATTCAAGTATATTGTAGATCAATGCATGCCACCTATGAAATGAAGAAAAATAAATGTTGCCTATACTTGTGATTATCTTCGCAAAATTTTTGTATGTAGCTTCAAACATTATGAAAATAGGACGTTAAAACATACAATCAATCAATCAATCAATCAATCAATAAAACTTATGAACTTCTGAATCTCCTTTTATTTAAAAGGTGAATATAATCATACATAACCTTCATTCTGTAAATTTAAAAAGTAGAAAAAATCTTTCAGAAACCATTTTATGGAATTTTCTTTACATTCCAAATTTCTAATAAAAATTGCTACAATGACCACATCGGCTACCTAGAGCCTTTGATTTGCTCTTTTAATTTAGAAGTTTCCGATTTTCCTAGCTGTTGTGAATGAGTGGAAATCTACGAAAGCCGATTAGGCTCATTTCTGAAAAGATAAAAAAAATATTTAACTCCTTAAAACGAGTTAATTATTTCGTTATAACGAGTAAGTATCTCGTTATAACGAGTTAGTTATCTCGTTATAACGAAATGATAAGTTTCTCCCTTTATTCCAAATTAAATAGCAATATAGGAATCAAAAATGACTGTAGTTTTAATGCCATTGAAGTTTAGTTGATAATTATCAGTCGTACGTAACATATAATGGCAATGTCCATGTTCTGCCATGGGAAACCTAAAATACATGTCAAATAAAAAAGTGAAATAGTAGGTGGACAATGGCAATATGTAATAAAGATTCTGTGAAAGTTTCATTAAATTTCACTCAGCAGTATAAGAAGAGTTGCGGATAAGAGATAAAGCGTAACAGACGGACGGACGGAAATCCCTATTACTATATACCCTCCCACTTTTCAAGCAGAGTTATATCTCTAGGTGGAACAAAGCTAACATCTAATCAAAGGCAGGTAAATTAATTCAGTATTTTAGTCGTGATTGGTATAAGTGAAGTCATGGGAAAGATTATGTCGAAAGTCATCTATACTCGTTGATGTGCAGGGCTGTACTTATGCATACAGCTTTAGCTGGTCCCGCCCTGTATTTCTTTTAATGTTTTTTTTTCATTAAGAAATCTGGTAAGGTATGCTAGTAAAAATAAAATCCCGGTTAGTTTATTACTTAAACGGAAATTACTTTCCTACAGGCCTGAAGATCGAGTCTATTAGTCACGCAAGTTTTTTTTTTTAAAAAGAGTAGCATGTCGGCGAATAAAAAAAAAGTAGTGTACAACATAGATAAAGAAATGTTTGTTGAAGTATTGACAAACTTCATACCTTTATAGAATGAAATCAACAAAAACTGCACAAAAATACAATCGTGACAATTATACAATGAATTAATTATACAATTATTTCTTTTAATAGATTGCCTTAGCATGCACTACTTTAAAAGCCATTGTTCTTAAGGAAAACAAAATCATGCAAAATATTATAGACTTTTCTTTATCTAGAGCAATGGCCTTTGGAGAAAAAAAAATGGCTGAAAATTTTAAAGTTTGGTATAATAATGTATGTGCATTTAGAACCCTACATTGTAATTTCATGCGAAAAGTGCAGGCGTTTACTACATACATCTGCGTACATATTTAAACAAAAAAGAAAAAAAAAACGTTTTATGTGATGAATTATATTATAAACATCTATCTAATAAATGTCTTTATAGTACGTTAGATTACAAATTTCACACAAAAACCCATCAACAATATTAAATACAGTTTTGATTTCACATTGATCTATTAACGTCATTCTGATTTAATATAATTATACACGACGAGAATTAAGATCTATTCAATACCTATGGAAAATTATTTAATTTCTAAAGAGGATAGTTTTATTTTAAATCAGTAATGAAAATTGAATTAAAATTCTAAATAGTTTGTTCTTTCATTGATCTTCTTAAATGTAGGTTATTTTATAAATATGTTCTCTTGTATAATTTTATTTATGGAATATACAATTTTTTAAATGATAAAAGAAACACGAATCATCATCTTAATTTAAAAGAATTTTCGGTCGGAGACTGTGTGTGTACATGCTCGACAACAGCCCATTGTTCCCTTTAGGTACAAAACCGTCTCAATTCACATAGAATATACAAAAAATACACATTGACAGGTGTCTTAGCGGCACGTGTCTCCACCTGAAATGGCATGTGAGGACAGGTGTCCCTAATTACACAGGCCGACCATAGTGACTTTTTCAAAAGCCTTTTTTTTGGGGGGGGGGGGGGCTTCCCAAGGAAAAAATGAAAAGCAATCCACCCACCCCCAATAATAAAAATAATTATTTAATAAATTAAAAAAAACAATATTCACTATTAATAGTAAAATACTAGTATGATAATACTCAGCCCCCAGTCAATTCGATGAATGATTCTTATGTGACCAGTTTATAATAATATATTAATTCATATTAAAACAAAATCTTTATCACTTTCTAAACTTGTATTTAAAAACTTGAAACACTAAAAATGTAATTTTGACAAACCAACTGAAGTATTTTTTTCCTGACGGATTACCCCGGTATATAAGAAATGCCAACCTCTAATATCTAACACAAATGCCTGGTAAGGTACCTTGATGTCTTGTGAATACATGTAATTATGTAAAATTAATTCTTCAATGTCAATTGCAAAATATTGGAAAAAAAATTTAATTATTTTATTGAGGAACGTCTCACCTGTCCGTAATCAGTAATCATAACTTGACATATTTCTTTATTTACTTTTTAATCGATCTATTTAGTAAACCTTTTCTGTAAATAATTTCATTAAATGTACCCTTCCTTAGCTCTTCCATTTTTTCAAAGGAACATTCATCATAGACAGCTTCAAGAAAGTGGGATCGGAAATGATTGATTTCTACATAACTGCATGCACTTACTTTTTTCTATTCCACTTCAGCCATTCTATACGAGTTTACCAAAACTTATGTGATAAATCAAATTCAAAATTAAATTAAATTAAATAAAATTCAGTTAAATAAAATTAAATTAAAATTGAATTGCGTTCACGGTGCTTGCTGAAATATTAAATTAATCACACAGAAATACACATCTAGTTATTTTAACTCTTTGAAGTTAATTATTTTGATACAGCATGTAAACACTTTTGAAATTTTTCTATAATTGGTAAAAATATGGTAACATAATTAAATATTTAACTTTTTGTAAAATAAAAGGTAGGTGGGTTAGTATTGAGATATACTTTCAAAGTTTCCCTGCCTGGGAAACATGGGGAAAACTACACATTGGTGGCTTCCATGTCGGGAATCTGTATGGAAACCACTGAGGCATGTTTACATGGTTTCCTATTTTGGAAAACTTACGGGAAACCACAGGTTGGTTGTTTCCATATCGGGAATCTACATGGAAACCACCGGGGCATGTTTCCATGGTTTCCTATCTTGGGAAACTTACGGGAAACCCCAAGTTGATTGTTTCCATGTCGGGAATCTATGTGGAAACCACCGGGGTATGTTTCCATGGTTTCCTATCTTGGGAAACTTACGGGAAACCACAGGTTGATTGTTTCCATGTTGGGAATCTATGTGAAAACCACTATGTGGTTTCCATAAAATGGGAACTATATGGAAACTACTGATGTCACGATTCCCATATGTTTCCATCGGGTTTCCAAATCTGGGAAACCTGGCTTTTCATCCTGTGTAAGTTTCTACAGTTTCCGTATTCATGTATTTGACTTCGGTCTTTTAAGTAAACAATACAAATCAACTGCATCATTTATACATAAACGAACTTCAACCAAAGGCACAACCCCTCGAAAAACAAAAAAATACTAGTTTGCTGTTTTTCAACAAAATCTTTATTATACACACTTTAAACAAACTTGATCGACACCGTTTTATATGCTATACATCCTATCATTTAGATATATCAACTTTAGACCAGTGTTTAACTCGTTATAACGAGAAAATCAACTCGTTATAACGAGAAAATTAACTCGTTATAACGACAAAAATTAACTCGTTATAATGAGATAACTAAGTCGTTATAACGAGATATTAACTCGTTATAACGAGATAATTAATTCGTTATAACGAATTAACTAACTAGTTATAACGGGATACTAACTCGTTATAACGAGAAAACTAACTCGTTATAACGAGATAACTAACTCATTAAAACGTGATACTAACTCGTAATAAAGGGAAACTAACTCGTTATAACGAGATAATTAATTCGTTATAACGAGATAACTAACTCCTTATAACGAGATAACTGACTCGTTATAACGAGATACTTAACTCGTTATAACGAGTTTTTTTTTATCTTCTCAGAAATGAGCCAATCCGGCTTTCGTAGAAATCAAATAATGCAACTTCATGTTTTTAAATTAACAACGACATTATTTTTCTTTCAATTTTTAAATCATGTAAGAAATTTTAAAGCATTTTATTTAATTATATTACTTACCCAATAGGAATATCGTTCCAATAGAAAATGCCTCGCAAGTGTACTTTGACATCGAGCGTTCGGGTATGTTTCAAAATAGTCCTTAATTATACATGTACTTATTAAGAATGGTAGATAAGTAAGTAATGGTAAGGCATAACCCGAATCATTAAGATAAAATCTATAGGTAAACATGTAAATGTATAAAAATTTACATATTGTATAGTATGAACTGAAATATTTACATATACTGTTAACAAAATGATTTTACGGCACACTGTTATCTCACAAGATACACAAGTTGTTGACATATTAGACATTTTATACCTTTTCCCCTTGCGATGTTGTTGTACATTGATTATCTATAGATTACCTCATATATGTATTAATCTAAAATTATAAACAATAAAAATATAATTAGATGACGGAAATTTAAATTTCACTCCTGAAATAAATAATAATTGTACAGCCACACTGTACAAGTGTGCACGTCTGTGAATTTTTTTTGTATACTTTGCTTAATTTTTGACTCTTTTCTAATGCTGTAAAATCACATATTTTCGTAGTGGCAAATTTTCCAGGTTTGAGAAAAAAATGATATGTTGGGATAACATGGTAGAGGAAGTGTTGAAAAGTATTGTTCATTAAATTTTACATTTCGTGGTTGTAATGAATTCGTGGGTCTCTTCATACCTCAAAAACAACAAAAATTAAACCAATACAAAAATTAGTTTATTATTTCAGAGTAAACGATAGACCGAAAATAAGCAAATGAATGTTAGAAAGAAAACACGCATGGAGATTTATAAATGTTTGAGTTATCTAATCTCTCTGAGTATGTGGGTCTTCTTATCTATCTTAGTATGGGGGTCTTCCTTTTTATCTTCAATATACTAGTACTGTAGATCACTTTATTTTCGAGACATTTTATTTTCGCGACTAAGCTCTTTGATATTTAACAAGACAAAAATCTTAGCGATCTATGGTATATCAACATTAATGATACAATTGTACGCGAGAATAAAATTTTCGCGATCAGACAGACTCGCGTAAAATATTTTACGCGGAAATAAAGTTCTTGCGAATAAAAAGTGATTCATATTCACATACAGTTCTACAATAATAGTACGACCCAGACTCACATAAATAACTACATAACAAAAATGCATTTTTCATGAGGTCATGATTTGTATAAACTTCATTCAATACTCTGGATGAAACACCTTCCGATTATTGATTTGACTATGATTGTATCTATGCTATTCTTGAAAAAAATCCTAATAATACGCGAACCCAGTTTTTGTCCTGGGTGCAGCCTCAGATGCCAAAAGATAACATATTTTCTGTACAGTTATGGGAAGATTCTTCAATTTTAATACTTCCGATGACAGTTTTATTTTTCTCAAAATGTGCCAGTTTTCCTCTGCCTCTCAGATTCAAATTGTCTACCACTAACTTGAGAAAAAAGTTATTCTTCACTTATAAAATATATATACTTGTATCTTGTTCTAGTATCGTTTTACAGAGTTAAGCTTCCATCAGATTCTTTCATCATTATATTAGCATCAACGAAGGAGAAACTTCTTGAGATTGTAAAATAATATATTCAGGAAGTTTTGATGATCAGATATGGATGCTCAAAAATACTATGGAATCTTTTGAAAGTTTGAAATTTGTTGAAATCAACAAGTTTTTACCAAAATTAACGATATCATAACGAACAAACACTCATTCCAAAATCCGTTAATTTACTTAGCTTGTTATTATTCATTTAAATAAATATATTTTGCTAAAATCAATATATGATTGTACGCAAAAGACTTTCTCCGATTTTGAGAAATGTGATTCAAAAAAAGATAGCACAAAACATGTCTAAAAATTAAAGTGGGCAAGTGGACACTGTTTTCATTAGGGAAATACCTCCTGAAATGAGTCATTAATAATGTTTTTTTTTGTTTAAAACTAAAAATGTACCAAGTAAATGGCGTTATATTTCCAGAATGTTCCTCCTTCATTCCAGATTATTTCATGGTATATCACATTCATATACTCAACGTATGATTAAGTCAATTTCATATTAAAAAGACAATAAATAAAACATTTTCTAAAAGATACGGTAATTGGAAACCAATCGTGTATCTAGCTGCATGGGTTATTTCAATTGAAATCTTTAGTTGATGAATATCTAAGAGGACAACTACATGGAAGAAGTTGTAATATTACACAAAATTAAGACACTGTTATTTGTATATAAGATATAGAAATATAAGTATCTAACATTCAGTGCAAATGTTTCGCTTGGTTTCAAGATAAAAGAACAACAATTTTTTGTCTTGGATAAATCATTCTTTAATTAAAAAATTTGAATAGATAGACACTGTAATTTCAATTCAATGTGTATTCGGTGTAAAATTGTACAGATTTTTTCTTCAGACGAGTCTTTCTGAAAGAAGTAAATTGTTGAAAAAATCAAATATGCGCTATTGATATTCACAAATTTTTATTTTTACTTTTTCCTTTTCTTGACACTATATAATTGATTTCAAAAACCATGTTAACTGTATAATGTTTTTATCACTCTCCATTAAACGTATTTACCATAAAATCTCAAAGAACGGGTACAATAAAAAAGCTAAATTATTACAAAACAGATTTGCCACATTACACCAATAATGAAATGAAATAAATAATTGGATGGCAACTGTTCAAATAAGAGGATTAGTTTCCTTTTCATTCGCCAAAGAAATACTTCGAATTTTAAGACTTAGCCTAGAGATGACGCCTTTGTAACAAGAACATCATCTATTTGCTACACAAAATTAAAAATTGATCTATAGTTACATTATTCTAAAAACAAAAAGATGACACTAACTAAATGTGTAATAAATCATTGATGTCCCTTGGGCGGTTTCAAAATTAAAGCGTCAGTCCACATTTTGATGAATACTCGAACTTGGAATCTGATCCCGAATGTTTGTTATTTTCAAAACGTTATTGTGTCGTATTTCCGGTATTTCCTTATGAAGTGTACGGTAGCCAACACTAGGACAATAAGTAGACATGCTCCGACTATTGTTCCTGTAGCGATATACATTGTATTTGGTTTCCCATCTTTCTCTATTCCACACGTCACTGCCTCTGTAAATACACATAACAATATTAATTTTTAAAGATAAGATTATTTGATCTCTCTTACGTTTCAGGAGCCAGAATGATGAATAATATTCCAGAATTCCCATTTACATGACATTTATGAACTTAATTATACAGAGTTGTACATGTTAATAGAAATAACCAGCAAACATCATTTGTTAACGTTAATGACATATACGTTCAATAAATAATGTCATTAGCTCCATGACATACAACATAGAAATCATATGACATTAAGATTGGATTTCTCTCATTAATGAATCTTTAATGAATTGATAACAGTTTATGTTACCACTTTTCATCGCATTATTTCATTGTGGGAAGCTAGGAAACAAGGGCTACTCGAGACACTGCATTAAATGAATGGTCAAGATTCAGTAAACTAGAGTAACATTAAACGCTTCATTAAAGCAGCTGTAAAACTTGTTAATACCCCAAAAATATATATTAACTGAAATATGTGAAATTTGCAGCGACTAATGTCTGTTTTATAGACACATGAACAGGTGGATTTCAATAAACAAAAGTTATATAATGGACATCAAAAATGGGTACCGTCCTTGGCAACAAGAACTTACAACAACCAATGTATATTTGCGAAAATTCAACAAATTATCACTGATTATGTTTTATTGACTTTAAGACACATAGCAAAATTGATAGAAATCATTTTGGGGGTAGTTCACACTGTTTTAAAGAAATATTTAATAGTAAAAAAGTCATAACAGCGTCCAAACCCACAGGCCATGAAGAGTACAGGAGTTTTGGGGATAAATAGAAAGTTAATGTTTTGTCACAACAACAAAATTTGCCAGATCTTTCAACCTTTGACTTGTTTTATTTCAAAAACTTAGATAATCATCTATCAGAAAGAATAAAACAAGTACAGCAAATCACAGGATCTGCCATATTCCAGTATACGAAGGGTCATACTCAAAAATGTGTTCTAAAAACAATTAGAAATTGAATAAAAATGTTACGGACATGTGTTTTAATTAAAAGAAAATATTTAGGTTAAGTCATTCAGACTAAATTATAGAAAGCGTTTTTGTGTTTCTTTCCGAGCCCCGATGACATTATTTATTGAACTCCCTTCGTATTTTACCAAAACTCTAATTATCAAATATACACTGTATATGCACTTATGCTACTAAGGGTTTGATGATCAGGTTTGATGATCATTTATAAACTCATCCCTTCTTGATTAAGTTTTTACGTTACAGTGAGAAAAAAAAAACGAATTTTCCGTATCTTAAGTATTGTACTGAAAATATGAAGACCTCTGAATGAATAACTTCATAAAAACTTGAGACATTGATATGGAACTCCATCACTGTCTTATGTGGAGAACTTTCATTATATAATGTTATTTTGTCATGATATGATGGTATTTTGTCATTATATGATGGAATTTTGTCATTATATGCTACTACTTTGACATTATATACTACTACTTTGTCATTATATGCTACTACTTTGTCATTATATGCTACTACTTTATCATTATATGCTACTACTTTATCATTATATGCTACTACTTTATCATTATATGCTACTACTTTGTCATTATATGCTACTACTTTATCATTATATGCTACTACTTTGTCATTATATGCTACTACTTTATCATTATATGCTACTACTTTATCATTATATGCTACTACCTTATCATTATATACTACTACTTTATCATTATATGCTACTACGTTTCATTATATGCTACTACTTTTCATTATATACTACTACTTTGTCATTATATGCTACTACTTTATCATTATATGCTACTACTTTGTCATTATATGCTACTACTTTGTCATTATATGCTACTACTTTGTCATTATATGCTACTACTTTATCATTATATGCTACTACTTTATCATTATATGCTACTACCTTATCATTATATACTACTACTTTATCATTATATGCTACTACGTTTCATTATATGCTACTACTTTTCATTATATACTACTACTTTGTCATTATATGCTACTACTTTATATTATATGCTACTACTTTTCATTATATACTACTACCTTATCATTATATGCTACTACTTTTCATTATATGCTACTACTTTTTCATTATATGCTACTACTTTGTCTTTATATGCCACTACTTTGTCATTATATGATGATACTTCAACATTATGGGTCCACAGATGATCGATAGATTTGTAGAAGAGATAATACATGAAGATGTTGGTCATATTTTAAGCTTGCCAGAGCGATGAACAATTGAGCAGAGCGAACGTTCGCAAACGCTCGCCAAAATTCCTTATACCTCCAATAGTATTTTTGACGAGCGCTCGCGAACGTTCGTTCTGCTGAACAGGCCTCAGCATTTACTAGTATTAGCGATCGAATTCGTCTCAGAGAAATGATCAAATGCAAGCCCGAGAGATGTTCAAACACCTGTGGCGTAATAGGGGCAAGCGGTAAATCTAGTCTTCCCGATTCCCGACGGTCCCGATTTTATTTTTGACGATTTCTCTTTTTCAAGGCGCTCAGAAACTATTCAAACTTTTCACGCACATTTTTGATGTTTAAATGAATTCATTCGTACATAAAAACTTTAATAACAAATTTGTGTATTTATTGTGTATTTATTTAATGAATCAGGTGTATCACCTGCCAAAAAGCGGTAAATCTAGAACTCTGTTATAAATTTGAAAACCAAAAACGTATACCGAATTGCGAATAAAAACAACAAAATTTGAAAATGAAGTAAAATTAAAAAAAAAAATAAAGGAAAACTTCATTTACATGCCAGATAATTTGTATGCACAAAAACACCCACATATTTTCTTTCTTTTCCTAGTATACATGTACTAATAGAACTCTTTGTCACATCATGTTCACAGCCGGGCTCTACGACGTTGACATGGTTCAACCTCGGAGCCCCCCCCCCCCCCGCCCCTTTTTTTTAAGTTGATTGTACTTTTGTAACTTAATCTCTGTAAAAGCACAGATAGCTTTTTTGTCAATAGCTTCGATTTAGCAGCAGTTTACCATACAGAATTATTTTTTTATTTGACAGACTGACAGAGTATCTCTTCACTTTCACTGTATCAGGTGATTCGGAAATTAATCTAACACTGCTTCAATAAAGCTTTTATAATGATAAGTGATTAAATTCTTCATTGACATGTTAAAAAACCTATATGATTGAAATTCTTAAGGCAACTGACTTTAAAATCATTTTCATGTTATGGATTTAATGAAAATTAATATGTTCATATTTTTTTAACACCGCCAGTTTCACTGAAATACTAATTCCATCTTTTTTAAAAGAAGAAATACTTTCCAAAAAAATATCAATATTATGATCTACGAAACCTCACGTCTCCGCTCTCAGCTATGTATCGATAATTAATGAGCATAACTTTAAATCAAATAAAACAAAATATGTAAAAGTTTTTTTTAATATATACTTCATTTTGTTGTTTTTAATCGAGATTTTATGAGAACATCGATCGGTGTCCGTTTTTGGTTTTAACACTTATAACAGAGTACTAGATTTACCGCTTTTTGGCAGGTGATAGTCATACTGATGATTCAGTAATAAAAAGTTAACGCATGTCTCCTAAAAGTTTTCATGCATTAATGAATTCATTTAAACCTATAAAATGTTATGCAAAATTTGAATACTGTACAGCAGGAAAATAACTCGCGGAGTTAATATTCGCTATATTCGCGGGAAAAGAAATTCCGGGAATTCAACATTCAGTGAACAATTCTTGAAAGATTTATAAGGATGTATTGAAAATTTATTATTATCTGTTATTAGATTCTTTAAATCTATTTCAAATTGTCTTTCCGTTCACACAAAGGCAGTAATTTATCTGACATGTACACTGTGTTTATAATTTTGCGGGTTCATTTCTATAGCCATCGATTAATTTTGCAATCTAGTAGACGTTTGATGTAATTATTTATCAAAACATGCTTGTTTCATTTCACCCCTGTTTATCACTAAGTCATTACCTTTAATTGAGGCAATTACGTGGTAAACAGGGTAACACAATTAATTAATTTCGATTATATAATTAAAAGTTCAACATTTTGACAACGGTACATTTTTTTCTGATTTGGGCCGGAAAAAAATAAAGTAAAGAAAAAGGCTTGCAAGTACTTTAAAAAATGTGTAATTTTTCCTTTCCGCGAGTTCAAACGACCGCGATTTGCTGAAAATTGAACAAATCGCGATCTTTTCCGACCGCGATTTTAACCTGCTTTACAGTAAATTTTATGCAACAATGAAAGGAAATCGCTAAAAATCCTAAATCTTGAACCTTCGGGAGTCGGGAAGACTAGATTTACCGCTTGCCCTTAAATTTGCAACTGGTATTTGAACTTCTCTCGGTTTTGCATTTGACCATTTCTCTTACACGAATTCGATCGCCAATAGTAGTAATTCTAGAACTGCTCAATTGTTCATCGCTCAAGCTTAAATTATTTTCAACATTTGTTCTCTTTTCTACAAATCTATCGATGACCTGCAGATCCATAATTAGTTCTTCGAGGATGCTTTCCAATGTGATTTTGCGCCATTTTTTCCCTTAACTAGTGAACTACTTAACGGTATCCCGATCCCGATGTTATACCTAATATTTAAAAATTATCTTCATATAATGTTGAAGTATCATCATATAATGACAAAGTAGTAGCATATAATGACAAAATACCATCATATAATGACAAAATACCATCATATAATGATAAAATACCATCATATAATGACAAAGTACCAGCATATAATGACAAAATACCATCATATAATGAAAAAGTACCAGCATATGATGAAAGTTCTCCACATAACGCAGTGACGGCGTTCCATACATTGAGAAAAGCAAATAAACATCATACACTCCAAAACGACACTGAGACTTGTAGCATGTATATTATTCCGCTCTGTTCAAACGTTTTATCAACTGATGCACCACAAATTCTGGCTCTTATATACTGGTATTTTACTTGAGAAAAAAAAATGATAACAACTTATCAATAAACTTCATGATAAACGTGTTTACTTAAACCATTAATGACATCACTGGGAAGATAGTTTCACTTGCATTTACATGTGCAGGTTATGTTCGCCTGTTGAATAGACACGTAGGAACACGTTCTTCTTATTGTAATATATCAATTGATTTTTAAAAGTAAAATTACCTGGTATGTGGTCGTCCAGTTCTCATTATTGTTAAATCTATGTTCAACATGTGCCTGTCAGAAAAGTTGTTTGTTTATGATTTTATTGAAAATAATATGTCAGCTTATCTAGATACGATTTTAGTAATAGCTATTATCCTCATATTTTACCTGTTGTCAATTCGTCGTAGGATTTATAATTTTGGTGAATAGAGGATGGATTTTACATTTCATGTTTTGGAAGCCATCATACTTTACTCTGATCGTCATTTCCGGTTTGGTGACATATATGTATTTCCAGTGGCTAGTGATGTACTATTGTTATATTCAAGTTTAGAATATTGGATCGTATTCATCATTTTAGTTTGAGGTGTTGTGTATTTTGAGGCTATAAGTTGTTCTTAATTGTACGCATTAACTTTATAATCAGTCAACTTTGTCGGGACTACATTAATTTTGTTTACGTTATTGTCGGTAGTTACGATATTCATCTTATATATACAGCATATATTGTATAGTCCTAGGGGTGTTTTAGAAATATTGAAGGTATTTACTAATTCGTTAATAATGTAGTTAAGTTTAATTTATTGATTTTATTTCCACTTGTTCATTTTATTTGTTTATTTTACTTGTAAGGACGTTGTACGGTAAACTTGTGTGGCAAAAGTAGTTCTTTTGTGGGAACTAATGTGGGAACTCAGCTTACCGTACAAGCTGTTGATTACTAGTAGTTGATAGTTCGTACGGCATAATTTCATTGGATATTTTGAGTCATGTGACAGGGAACTGGAGGTTATATAAGCAAGCACATACTACGCTAAGGCAGATTTCAGCTAGCTGAATGGGGCAACATTCGAAAACTAAAAGAAGGAAAACAAAGACGGAGAGATACTTTTAATGTAATTTACATATATTTAGCCTAGTTAGAAATTTCCTATAACACTGGACGACCTTAACTTATGTTTCTGAGGAATCAGTCATGTTTTATATTGATATTTGTATACTGAAAGGAAAAAGAAACTAGGGGTAGCGTAATATTCGAATTTTTTTTTACCAAAAAACCGAAAATTACAAAAATTGGCCAAATGAGAAATTAGTTACCATGCACAAAAATCAGTGTTCAGAATTACTCAACCGTAAAATGTGTGACGTCAGGTAGGGAAAACGCTAAAAAGCCAAAACACGTGCAATTTGATGACGACAAGTTTGTCAACAAATCTTGTTACACCATTTGATGCATCTGAGGTATACACATTGTTTTTCAATATTTGGAGACGATATGAATTTCTTGCAATCTTGGTACACTTTACGGAAATTCCATGGGGTCTTGCTTTCGAATTGCCCAATTCATGAAAATTGCAACAACGGGTAACTAAGCAGTTTCTTGTAAATTTCCCCCCTTAAACTTGTTACCCGTTGTCAAAATGGGCCTGGAATGATTTTCAACAAACCGTGACAATGACGATAACACGAAGTAGAGTCATGTTACGAGCGAGTTATTCGTCCTACCATCTAGCTCTTAAATGGTCACCTTACAACCACAAACACCGCCATTTCTCCAGTAGACTATTATAATCATTACATACACACGGAAAATGAAAGAAAACAATAACATTCCGCAATTTGTTTTTTTTTGAGCTGGTCAACTTTCTGTTGTGTTCCTCTCACTGGCGCATGCGCGCGTTGTTTGACTAATTTTTTGCCGTGGTTACCCATGCCCAATATTGTCAGGGTTAGAAAGATACACACTCTGATCAATTCCATGCAAAGGAGAAATATGGCTCTGACAGGTGCACGGGAGAGACATTTAAGAAAATGAGAGCTTTCAATTTTCACTTTTGGGGTAATCGCCATATAAGCTTCAATAACTAATGAATTATTGGACAAAATCGAATGGGATTTTGAAATATCTTTTTGAAAGATGATTTTAAAAGTTAGATAGGAATACTGAAAAAATTAAAAGAAAAATAAATTTAATTCACCTCAACAGTTTACCCTGCGTTTCTTTTTCCTTTCAGTATATATTGCCCATAAAGTTATGATAATGAGATGCTAAACATACAATAAATGATGAATCATCTTGAGTGTCATTCAACAAAGTTTCTACACAGAGTGGAGCCTGGCTTAATTCATAATTATTTGTACATCCTGACAAAAGGTAAATTAATTAGACGAAAAACTTTGAACTATAGATGCCGAGGATTCAGAAATAGCCTGGTACTAACCACCCCTTGGGCAGCTTACAATATGATCAATTTGTAAAACGAAGAAGCCTTTTGACCAACAGTGATTTCTTTTATCCAGAATCGTTTATCTGGATGAGATATGGTATATGCGTACGAGCTAATACGAATTCATTATAATTCTTTAAAATATACCCATATATTAAATAAGATTTATACACGAAATTGCTTACCACTGAAATTTGTTGAATTGCCGCTTTTGAAAGCCTGATATTGAAGGTCTTTGATTATCATGGATAATCTATTTTCAAAATAAAACGTTGTTGCTTTTTTACACTTGTAACTCTTGATTTTAGCTGTTGTTAGTTTACCAAGGTTGGCAGCAACAACTAACATTTCCTTTCCAAGAACTGCAAAAAGTTTCAAAGATTCAATTCATTGTAATGATGTGAAGAAATATATTGTTACTCATGGAACTCCATCAATCCAGAGGTGGTTTATAACTACAAAATAGATATATAAATATATATATATATATATTTATACCCCCCCCCACTTGAAAAGCAGGAGAGTATATGGTAATCGGTATGTCCGTCCGTCAATCTGTCCGTCTGTTACGCTTTGGGGTACCCTTCTCTTATCCGCACTCCTCTCATACCACTGCAAGAAATTTGATGAAACTTTCACAGAATCTTTATTACATAATGCCATTATGCACCTCGTATTTTTCTTTTTGATCCGACACATATTTTGGGTTTTACATTTCGTTCGTCTATTTAGACGCCAATTCTTTCATTTAAAGGGCTGGAAATTTAGACATTCAGATGGCACGATTGGCCATTGAGCACTGATGATTCTTTCCCATGACTGAATCTCACACAAAAATGGGCTTCACTATAAACAGACATATATATCTGTTTTTTCTTCCAAAGGTGGGGTCAGAAAAAGCGACGGAAGGGAAATATTAATTATATTTTTACCAACATCATATTCTCTCGAACTCCATTTCATGAAAGGTGTTACATTGTTAAAAAGGAATAATAGAGTTGGTGATTCCATCAATCAATCAATTTAACATTTTTACTTTTCTCTGTTTCCCCTTCTTTCCATGCATGTACTTACTCCTTCTTATTGAATGTTAAGTGTATAATTTTTACTTTCCTTTCTCCTGTACATCTCAAAATTCCTAAACACCTATATCTACATGGATGTAAAATTTCTTGCTTATATATTCCATTTTGATATCTTTTATCTTTAAAATTAAATTTCATTCGTAGTTTTCATTTAAATGTTTTGACAACATTCGCCTTTCCTCTCAATAGCCGTTTTCAATCTGAGATTTAAAAAAAAGGCAATTTTTTTCTCTTTTTTTTATTTACACATTAAAGAAGGCACATATACTTTTGATCTTTACATCACAAGAAGCACACGGTGGGTGTGACCGGTTAACATGAGAAGTCCACTCTTCCATGGCATCTCATCCCACTTCTTATATTTTGGAAGTACATAATTGCTCTTCTCCCAAATTGTTTTATTTAAATAGACTTGGAGCTTGAATACTGTTTTTTTTTATCTCTAAACGTCATACTTGACATAGTTTTGATTTTTTTCCTGTACAACTTCGAATTAAAAATAATGAAAATACAGATGTTCAGTTATATATTGTAATAGCATTAGGTAAGATATCAATAAACTTACTTCTGTCGTCGGCATACTTAAAAAAGACGTTGTCGTAGTCGAATGAGAACTCAATTCGTGAAATTTTGTACCTAGTTACGCCCTCCTCAGCCCTTTCTGCTACTGTTTTTTGCTTCGTATCAGAAGAGAAGTACATCGTCAGTGCCCAGGTATCATAGAAACTGATAACTAATTTCTGAGAGTAGAACCCATTCAAAATTGTGTTGCAATCACCAGTTACACTGTAGATAGCTGGTAGAGGAACTGTATCCTTGAAAATCTATAATTATTGTAAAAATGTTGCATTTAGAAAAAAATTTACTTTAATGTCTATGAATGACTTTTTTTATTCATAGTTTAATAACTCGGTTTGATTGTGTTTTAATATAATTTTTATACTTATTGAAGAATTAAAGATTAAAATAGATTTTTTTATACAATTTTGTGAGTAAACTAAATATAAAGCTCACAAATGAATAGTTTAGCTAAAAATAAATCTTATCTGTGTTGTATGTAGTTCTAAATTTGTTTTAAAACTTACGATAAATTTAGAAACATAAGGAATATTAAATTGAATGCTTCCTTTAAAAACAATACAAGTGTTGCTCCCATCGGTCACTGAAAATGTGTTAACAGGGAGACTACCTGGACCCGGAATTGGTTCTAAATCAGCTTTGCAGTCCTCACCTATGAAAAATAAACACTACTAAACATTTTAGATAGGCTATGTTCTCGGCATAATGATACTGTGAATCAAAAATAGCAAATAAATAAATTTATTGATATTATTTATTTATATCAAAGCAAAGCTGTATCAAGATTTTTTGTGTTGCCTGCAGAACAAGCTACACTTAGGGATGACTATCGATGCCCAGCGTCTGTCCATCTGTCCATCTGTTTGTCATACCTTATATCTTGCATTGAGAACTGTTAAATTCTTGTAACAATATATTGCAATGATTTATAAATTTTGTTTGCGAAAGAGAAGATTAGATCACTGTGTGATGTTGAAACTAATTATGTTTTCAATAAAAAGTCATACCATTTTTTGAAAACCTGCCGTCCTCTAAATGAAACGCTTGTACTTTTAATTCTTTAAAGTGCAAGGTAAGTTTATCGTCTGAGAAATTCCCTCCTACATCACACTTGTAGTATAGCCTGGGATCTGACAAAGGTAGTGATGATCTAACTGTGTGGATTAGTTTCGCTAAAAATATATGAAATATTCAATTTAAAAGGTTAAAATTTGTTTCGGACTGAGAGAAACTTTAGATATCCTTATGAACAAGGTTCTAAATACAGAGAAAATTACATTAAAAACTATTAACAGGTACAAGTACTCCAAAACTTGATAAAATACCTTCCTTTGCATTTGGAAATAGTTCCAGATTCACCGCGGCAGACAATGACATCAACATAGATTTACCGGTATAAGTATCAATTTGAAACTGAAAAATCACATGTTCAATGACTCCATCTTTAGGTGTTATAATAAGGCTAGACTTGTCTCTAGCACAGGTTCCTGTGACACTAACAACACCGCTCTCTGGGATATTCACAGTGTTTCTGGTCTGTAATATAAGGAGGTATTTTATTGCATTTTTTTTTAAATTTGTAGATGCACATATAAATTTTTCTTATAATTGGAATAGAAGTACATTGGACAGCTGCAAGCACAAGATACGTGAAAAAATTAAAACATCTAAATACTGCAAGTTAGAATGTAGCATATTAAATAAAGATATTATCCCCGTATATTAAAAAATATAACTATGTCAGGTCAGATATCTCAAAGAATTTATAACTTTCCTTTTCCTTCTATTCAAAAAAGTAATATTAAAACATTTTTTTTGATAGTACAAAAGATAACTTAACTGAATATCTTTTTAAAAAATATATGTTACACACTTTCATGTGTTAGCTAAGTTTACTTTGATACATTGTTATTTGAGTTTAAGACATTGGTTTCTTTGATTAACAGGTCGCCCGCGTGGCGCAGTGGTTAGAGCGTCTGTTCTAGAGTCGCGAAGTAAAGAGTCAATCCTTACGTCGCGGGTTCGAATCCCACTGCGGGACGTGGAGACCAGTCCTTCGGATGAGACCGTATAAACCGAGGCCCCGTGTCGCAGTAGGTGCTGGCACGAAAAAGATCCCTCCCTGCTCAATGGCCCTGAGTGCCGAGTATAGGACAAAATTTGCAGCTCTCCACCGGCAAATGGTGGCGTCTCCATATGAATGAAAAATTCTCGAGAGGGACGTTAAACAATATACAATCAATCAATCAATCTTTGATTAACAATGCCAAAAACTTTGGTTTAGTTTTTCTCATACGAGCTTTGATTCTAAAATCAACAGCAAAACCTTCTGATACACTTTCATTAAATACGGCAAAAGCTTTAATACTTTGGTTTATTATAGTTACCTAAATTCAGCAATTTAGCAAAGTAAAAGATCCTTAATTACTTTTTTCTGTCTTTATATTTTTCGGGAAATTGCGCATGCTTTAACTCAAAAACGTTTAGACTTCAGGTAATAACATCTTACAATAACATTTTCCTTGGCGATGTAAAAAAATTGTAACTGAAATCGTCCCTCCATGATGAGACAAACGGTAGAGTCCTTTATGACTCTGTAGATCGACTTTGATGGTAGCTGAGGTTTTGTAGGAGTTACGTATACAGAGGACTTAAAAGTCGGTATGGCTGTTTTTAGGTTTGTCGTTGGTGAATCAGTTGTCGGTTGAGTTTGTTCAGAAGTCTTCATAACTGGTAAAGTTGTTTTTAGGTTTGTTGTTGGTGAATCAGTTGTCGGTTGAGTTTGTTCAGAAGAACGAAATGCTTCTGTTGTTATTTCATCGTTTTTACACGTAAAAGCTGAAAAATATCACATAGGGAAAACTAAAATACTCACTCATTCTCAAGAACATTGATCATAGAGTGTCAGGATGGTCATTTTGATAATAAAATTTATGTGAAAGGATATTCTTTTAAACATTTATCTTTCCTACTGTTTTACTTATTTGTATTCCTAAAACTGGTCATTGAAGCATAGTTTCAATAGATTGATCGGTAATTTAAAAAGATGCATATTCTTAAGTGCAATGTCTGATTTCACAATCTTCGAACAGGGATGCGGCGAAATATTTGCTGTTGAATGTCCTTCAAATAACATATTGTAAGAGATTTCGTAAATAAGAACAAAATTTTAAAGTAAAAAAAATGAGTTTGAGGGAAAATTCAGCCATTTTTGTGTGCTACCTGTGTGCTACCTGCAATCTTAGCTTCGTTGAAATGTTGTAATTATCGGTCGCAGTGTTAGCTGCGCGAGCTATAAAATCATTGGGTAAAAAAATAGATTTCAGGAGGAAAACATAATGCTGATAATTAATTTTCTAAAGATAAATAACCATCACAGGTGACTTTTATATCAAATAAGACCCCTAATAAAATAACAAAATACTGATTATGTGCTTGTAATAGTGTCAGATACACGGCTCTCAACTTGCTTAGACAAGTGAGATAACCCTTTAGCTCATTTGGTAGATTACTGGACTGTCAAGCCAGAGGATCCGGGTTCAATTCCCAGCAGAGAAAGTTACATGTCTTTGTTACATTGAGCGCCTACATTGGGACTCGATCGGGTGTTCTCTGGCAATTGTTCCTATTACATTGCACTACAGGTGTTGAAACTCCGACAGAGAATCTGGGTGTCTAATTTCAAAATTTTTGCTTTTAACTTTTCCATCCTTCTCAAATTTAAGGTTGCACCCACCCCCCTCCCCGAAAAAATAAAAAAAAAAATAGAAAGAAAAGAAAATTATTACGTTTTAGACTAATTTTCAATATTCCAAATTTTAAAAATGCGTGAAATCAGTTTCTCTCTTTATTTTTCTTCCTCCATCCCCAACACTTTTCATGAAAAAAGGGTAAAAATAGAACAAGACTTGTCATTAATCCAACTTGGTACATGCTGATTCCAATTAACAAGGTCAATGGCCTACCTTTTATGCTAGTGGCTCCAGAGTAAACAGCATCCTAACTGCTTCAAAGTTTAGGAAAATCAATTCGTAGGTAAAAGTTAAGATTTTTAAGGTTAAATACGACTTTGTTTGACTCTAAGTGATGAAATTTAATATCCCACCTGCATGTATTTCTGGACCATCTGATCTAAAACTATGAATCAGAAAAAAAGTTCTTTAATTATTGGCTATAGATTTAAATTATATCTTACTGTCAGTGCTGAGTTTTCCATTCTTTATGTTAAAGGCCTGAATCTGGACACTAGACATATCCATGAACATTGTATAGGTGGTCCCTTCCAACGCCCCAGTCAATGTCACTATCTGATTGGCGTTACACTGGTAAAGTTGGGTGTCTGATCCAAGTTTCATGTCTCCAGTATCCAACAAATTTATTGAAGCTGTGAATTCATTGAATTAAATTCATAATCTAGATGAAAAAGTTACACAAAAGGGTTGTTAAATGACTTGGTTTATTTTTAGATTTACAACCATAAACATAGCTGCTATAGTGTATTCCTCTTCCTCCTTTTTGGGGGGTTGGAGGTGGGGGATGGGACTTAACTCCTTTAAATCTCTGGAATTGTGCAAATGCAAAGATATTGGCTCAAATAATCAGAAAATGACTATATTTTGGGCATTTCTTGCCTAAATTCGAAATGTAGTTGCATTTGACTCAATCAAAATATGTAGAACTATCCATACATGTTTATCGATGATTTTTTCCTGAATGACAACATCATAGCTTGAATTTCCCGCAATGTTGAATGACCTTGATAGATTTCATTTGGGGCAGTCAAATTCATATTAGGGATCTAGAAAGTGGATCTATTTAGGAATTTTAATCATAAATGGGACTGTTTTCGAAAATATCCCATTGAATGTTTTTATTTTTCAATGTTCAGTGATAACATAAAACACAATAATTTATCAACACGAACATTTGCTTTAAGTTATTTAGTTAAGTCATTCTAAATTCAAGCGCAAGTCTCAGTACATTAGGGTATATCACGCGAGAACTGTCATGCATATGGCTGCTGATCATGTTGAGAGGCAGATTTATTTTACCTGATTTTCTCTTTTAACGAGCGGTGCTGTTGACAGTAAATACAGGTTTTGTCTTATTAAAAATTGAGTTGAATGTAAAATTAATTTATTTTGCCTGCAACCACCCGTATTAAAAAAAAGATTTGCATCATTACGGATATGCTGTGGAATTGTAACCCTCTCCAGAAAAAAAAAAAATGGATAAAAAATCGTAGAGGACTAAATTATTGCAGCTACCTTTGTGCGATTTTTATTTTAATCTTTAAATTCCTTACCAGCTAGGGATGTTCCTGGAAAGTACTCAGACGGTGAAAATGTAAACATAAAGCTCATGTTTACACTTAAATCAGGAAGAACACTGAAAGTGCATGCCAACAAATCTTCATAAGAATTTCCTAAAATCAAGGTAGCCACATATTCTCCATTTTTTGCACAATCTCCACTTTTCACAGAAAAATCACTTCCATTAAATTTCATTATTTCTTTTCCATTACTCAAGGTAAAGATAATATTCATCTTCACATCAATACACAATTCGTTGTTGTCGTACATGTAACCATATTTCGATCCTTGTGTCAGTGATATAACTTCATAAAGATAAAATGTATGCTATTAACATTATGTTTGAATGATCTAAAATATTCAGATACCAATTAAATTTAGAATTTAGTAGAAAATGAGTAAAGATGATAGGTAAATATTTTTGATCATGCTTTTCTACCCCAAAATATTTAGTTAAGGACAGACGAGACGTTCCTTAATGATAGATAAAATTTTCCAATATTTTGTCATTGAAGTATTGATACTTAAACATGTTGACTCACAAAAATTTGAGGTACATTACCTGGCATTTCTGCAAGATGCCAGGGGTAGTTTTTCTTATATAATCCTTTTGGGAGGAAAAATACTTTTCCAAGTTTAAATGTTTAAGTGTTTGGATTTATTAAAGATGTTTAGATACTGGTTTAGAAATCAGAATGTGATTAAAATTTTGAATATTTTCCATACACTGAGAGAAATACCTAGTTAATTCAACTATAGTGTGCCTAGTAAAGCGTTCTACGTGATTAGTACTCACTCTGTTTACTAGCTAAGATAGTGAAAGGTGGAGAAGTGGTCGTAAAGATACTTAAATACCTAGTGAAAGTTACTTATAAATTCTTAGATTTATTAATATTAGCAGTAAATCTACCCAATACCCAGAAAAACTACTTTTAAGGTAGTGATTGTATGGACAGTAAATTTACTAGTCTTCCCAGTGACTTTCACTAGTTATTTTTTTTTCAGTGTACATTATGAAGATATACCAAAACAGATTTTGAGGAACGTCTCGTCTGACCTTAAGGACTGCAATTTAACAACGTTATTAAATTATAAGGAATAATTCTTATTCTTGGACAAATTATTCGAGTTTAATCTGGTTTCGGTCAATTTATGCTTTTTTATAATCTGCTTTCCTTAAATATATTTCATGTACTCACCCTGTAGGAATAATAAGGCTACGAAAACTGCCATGTGTATGAATATTTACATCAAATCATTTATTCAGTTTTTCCCGTTTGTTTCAAATTAATTCAAATTCAATCTTTCTGTAAAAGTATAACAAAAAATAAGTTAAAAAGTTGATAAAATTACAGATTAAGTTACATAGTATTTACATCGAAATTTTAGAAAAACATGTACCTTTTTGCAGCACCCTAATATCTCCTTCAGATTAGAGAATAATTGATAATTTTGTACATTTGATTTCCCCTGACAAGTGATGTTGCTGTTTATAATATGAAGATAACACTTCGTTTTTATCTAATATCAGTAACAATGGATCGATAATCACTTGAATGTATATCTTTTTTGCGCAATTACTTATATTGATAAACAGAAAATAACAATCATCTAAACTGGAATTTTCCCCAAATTATGACAATTTCCAGCTAAATAGTATGTCAAAATGAAATTAAAGCAAATTTAGCATATGTATAGGGCAAAATGAAGGACCAGTCGCACATGAAGACTTCATAGAGGAAGTTTGAAATTTTAATTATCTCTGTAAAGGGGCTGCCGTATTATCAGAAAGGCATATTAAAATTACTATCAACCCGGTAGTAACGTTTTGATAGCGATTAAAAGTTGATTAAGTCAATTTGATTAAAATATAATTACCAGTATGTAATGTTATAATGAACAGGAGTATTAACGGTCTCGTTTGAAGTCAATATTTTGCAAGTTTTGTGGTCTATACAATGACCTTGTTATCAAATATAATCTGACATTAAGCCGAATGCTGACTGAGGTTTCTCATTTACAAATTATTTGGACATTTTAAAATGTCCAAATATTTTGTATATGAGAATGTTTCTTTATACGTAGAAACATGACCCCGGGTCAATATTATACAAGTAGAGTATTTTTTCTACTGTAGAAAACTTTTCAAGCTAGACCGATAATTTTACGACTCCATACAAGCTGAAAAATGACCCCAGTCAATATTCTGCTGATGTAATCACTTCTCGTTGTTTAACACCGGCGTTGCACTACGACTGAGCATACGACCTTTGATTAAAAGGGCCCCTGGTACCCTTACATGTAACTCTTCTTACATTTTACTTGTCTTATACAGTAGCCTTATCATCTTTTAGAAGACGATTGTTGGTTTCCTGTAGATGTGCAATAAGATTTTGCATTTTCTTTTCCATCCTGGGAGCAAACAGGGGACTAAATTTACATTTTTTACATAAAGACCTTGGTTCTCTCAACCGTTATATTTATACGCAGTAGCCTAATCATCTTTAGGAAGATGATTGATTGTGTCCTGTGGATGTGCAATAACGCTGTGGAATTTTCATTTTTTTTTTCCCTTGGAGGTCTAAAAGGGTGGAAAAATGACATTGTTTTCTGCATTTTATTCTGATTTAGTAGGAATTGCAATATCATTCATGGAAATCAAAATAAAAAAGGAGTGGAAAATGACATTGTTTTCTGCATTTTATTCTGATTTAGTAGGAATTGCAATATCATTCATGGAAATCAAAATCAAAAAGGAGTGGAAAAATGACATTGTTTTCTGCATTTTATTCTACTTTAGTAAGAATCGCAATATCATTCATGGAAATAAAAATAAAAAAGGAGTGGAAAAATGACATTGTTTTCTGCATTTTATTCTACTTTAGTAAGAATTGGAATATCATTCATGGAAATCAAAAAAAACTGAGTGGGAAAATGGCAATGTTTTCTGTATTTCATTCTACTTTAGTAAAAATTGCAAATATCATTTACGGAAATCAAAATCAAAAAGGAGTGGAAAAATGACATTGTTTTTCTGCATTTTATTCTACTTTAGTAAGAATTGCAATATCATTCATGGAAATAAAAATTTTATAAACACTGAATTATACACAATAAATTATTAAAGCGTCCATGCCTTAGAATAAGTAACGTCTGGATTGAAAACCTTTTGCATCTGTGATCAATTACTCTAATTCTTCGTAAGTTAATGCCATGTTGTTGAAGATTGCATTCAATGTGTTAATTGTTCATAATTCTGACGTTTCTTGTAAACAATGACCAACACAGCAACTGAAAGTAGAAGTCCTCCTAATGCTGCTCCTGTGGAAATTAACACGATGTAATTATCTCCATTGTCCTTACAGTAGACTGCAGCTGTTAAAGATAATGAAAATATATTAAATCTCTATATATCAGGTTTATCATCATATCAAGTTTACATATGTCGACCTCTAATTTGATATCGGTGTAATTCGTAATTATGCTAATGCAAATCTATTCTGCTTATTATCATTATATTAATTTAACAAAGACATGGATGGTTTCGTCTTTGCAAGTAAAGATAAGCACATTGGTGTAAAGAAAAGATAATAGAAATACATTATTAGCAGACCTATTTTTTATTCTTTAGCAACATTTATACATATTCACATCATGTACTTAAAAAATACCACAGAGTGTATCAAGTTTGTTTCATATGGGAATTTCTACAAGAAAAAGACTATTCTGGTAACCTAAATATGATTAGTTCAACTTTTTTATTACCAACTTCCCTTACTTTTGAAGCAATATACCCTGCACATTGGATTTATAGTCATCTCCATATGTGCAAAAATTCTCCAAGAGAGAAGATAAACAAACAAACGAACGAAATGGGTTTTATATCTCCCAGTTGGATCCAAATGCAAAAACACGCTCCATGTACGTTATTTCAAAAACGAGCAAACTATTGATAAACAAATTGATGAAACAAGGATATCAAGGAGTTTCGAGTAAAGTTTTATTTAGAGTCGTCCTTTCGCAAGTTCTATGATCGATGCACAATTATGTCCTCATCAGCAAATATAATCATGATGGTTCATTTAATAGAATACAGACGGTTTCATACTTATTGTTAGGCCATTATTTTAACACTGACGGGATTTCAATTTTTTTTCTGCTTGCCCGATTATAACAATCAGCACGCGTGGGTTTGACTAGTCGACAGGGGATGCTTGCTCCTCCATGGTACCTGATCCCACCTCTGTTGTTTTGAAAAAGTATGTGTTAGCTTTGCTTCCCATTTGAATTGTGTAATCAGATTTTTAGCTTGATAACTGTTATTTCTATATTTTATAACATGAGTGCTGTTTGATTGCATTTAACAGAAATTCGTACTTAATAAAACCTACAGCTGAAAGCAGTTAAATTTTCAGTTTTGAAGGCTTGAAATTGAAGTTCCTTGGTTATCATAGATACACCATTCTGAATGTTAAATGTAGAATCTTTCTTGCACATGTAGCTTTGATCTTCATTTGTTGTCAATGCTCGAAGACAGGCAGTAACAGCTGTTTTATTTGTACCGAGAACTGCAATAAGAAATAAAATCAATTATGAACTATAACACAAAGACCGAGGTGTCACCGAGATATCTGCATGATTATTGAGAACATTACATGTAACTTACAGACGGTTCAATTTTCATTACGATTTACAAAAGCTAACAAAATTTAACTGAATAATCAAAACTGTGGTAACATCTAGTTAAATATAGGTTGTCATAGTTCAATGTACACAAGTACTTTAACTAACCAATGACACCTTCAGACCTTGAAACTATGATCTACGGATGATAATTCTTTACTATGACAATTCATAAAAATATTTTGCAATACATTTGTAAATTTTACATAATTTTACGAGTAAATTTAAATTTCAAATACCTGCATAAACATTAAATTAGGAATTTTTTTTTACACTTGGAATTTTGATGGTTTACACTTGCTTTTTTAAAATGGGATTTGACACTTACATTAATTAAATCATATATCAATTTTACAATATATATATCTTAAGATATGTATAAAAAATAAGAGTATCCTTCGTCATAGAAGCAAAGAGGAAAAATTCAGGAAAATTGTGTGTAAATAGAAATTATGCATGCATGATATTTTCATCATGAAAAACCCTTGAAGTGACCTGAATGGGAACCATTTACTCACTGTTGTCCACAGCGTCTGTAAAAAGGTTGTTATTGAAATCATAATCCAGCTCAATATGTGAGATGTGGTACTTTGTAACGTGTTCTCTTGCTAAAATTTCCCTTTGCTTTACATCAGAGGAGAAGTATAATGTCAATTTCCAGGTATTGTAAAATCCAATGACTATTTTCTGGGAATAATATCAATTCAGATTTGTGTTGCAGTCCCCCGTTACAGTGTATCTATCTGGTAGAGAGATCAATCCTGTCGTATTCTAGAAAAATATTGAAAAGAAAAAAAGGGGGTAAATTTGACATTTAAGAATGGATATTTCTCAATTATATCTGCAAAGAATAACATATTTTTAACTAATATAGATGGAGCTAAAGAAAGCTTCAGTTAGACTTGTTTAAGTATTCAAATACACTTATACGTATTTTCAAACAGCTACTATAAAAGGAGGATTATCCTAAATTTAAAATAGTAGCTATAGTCTACTGCAATCTTTACGCGTTTATTTTTCGAATAAAATTTGTAGCCGAAGACCATACATTACAATTAAAATCAAATTTACGATATTTATATTGCAAGACATCTCTGCATTTCATGATAAGCATCATTGGTAATAAATTAAAAATTAAAGAAATTCGATGTCTCTAAAACCACGTGTAAATTTTATACATGTGTTTTACACCACAGTATCTAAGACGTCAATTAACTTTATTTATATTTGAATGATTAAACAAAAAATGATAATTTCAAGGATCATTTTGAAACTTTTAACATTTTTTTTAACTTGAATCATTATAAATGCGGCTCAGTTAAACCATGTAAAAGAAAATTTATCAATTTTTTTCAGAGAGACAGGAGTCAATCGGCATATGCCACATACATCATAATAACTTTACTACTGACATTTACCCCATTATATGACATGTATGGAATGTTGAACTGAAATCCACCTTTGATTACAATACAAGTGATGTTATTATCAGCCACTGTAAACATATGCACAGGAGCATTTCCAGGACCTGGAATAGGTTCTACGTCTTCATTACAGTCGTATCCTGAAAATAAGTAAAGAGTATATTGTTTCCATGTCATACATGTATAATATAAAATACACTTTATATTTTTTACTAGAGTTTGTAGATATCGGCTTTAATTTACATTGTCTAGGAACACAAAAAGAGTCTATCAACACGTCGAAAAATTCCACACACATGTGGGGGATTTCCTCTATGATTAAAATTTTAGGTCAGGTTTGGTGACAAGCTTGCACAAATGTTTGCTGCAAATTTGCAGGAATGTTTGCCGCAAGCTTGCAGCAAGGTTTCAATATTTTGAAAATCCACTGTTTGCTCCAGACTTGCAGCAAACCTCATTTGCATGGTAAAATGTTTGCTGCAAGCTGCTGCATACATGCAACAAACTTGCTGCAAATGCCAAGGACATGCCTTTCTTTTTTTTTTTTCGATGTTTGCTGCAGACGTGCAATAAATAAGAAATGTGCCGTTCTGATAAACTTAGGCTATTGAAGAGGGGTCATTAAAATGGTATAAAAGTAAAATTATAAATCTTTGCTTTTGTAATTCTAAACGCAAGGATTTGGAAATCCCAGAGAATTGTTTAGCAACTTTTTTGCATTAACCCTTAGTATTTGATTGTCATATGTTTTAGTACTCCATAAATTAAACAGAGATGCCCAATTAATGAAACCATTTTTGTCTTAAATATAGTATATATAATAATAACATTATTCATCATCAAAATTTAGGCAAAAGTTTGAAAAACCGGTTTAAACTGATGAAGCAGTTTTGATAAATGGTCTTGATGTTTATTAAAAGGGGAATATTCAGTAGACGTACATTAAATACAAATTATTTACCGTTTTCTGAAAATTTCCCATTCTCCACATTAAATGTTTGTACTCTGGGACATCTACATTTTTTTTGGCCTGAAATGTAAAGACGAATATCTCATTAGCAAATTCTTTTATATTGCTCAAATTGATTAGAGCTTCCAAAGTCAGAAAGCTGATCTAAAATCTACATTATATTATTACTCATTTTTGACACTAATAATAAGACATTTCTATTCGTTCTAAAGAATTTTCCCGTTCATTTTAAAGAAATGTCCTGTATATTCTCATAAAAGTTTTCAGACAATGTCAAACTCCTAGGTTAGCTTTTACCATGAATTTGGATTTGTCCAATATCAGAAAGTGAGACACGATATGTAAAAACCTACAAATTATTTGAACTTTCATACACTAAAACATCTGCGTTTTAAATAAAAAGCTTTGCTCTTTTATTTTAATTATTTACTCAAATACAAACTCATGAAATATAAGATTTGATTTACAATATATAGACTTCTTCCTAAGTACATGTAGAAGTGAATAACTTTTAAACTGACCAGAACTTACAATTCCATTATCCCATTTAATATAAGACACAATTAGTTGGAAGCGTCCCTCTATGATGAGACAGGCTATAGAATTCTTCATTACTTTGTATGTGGACGTTTGAGGGGATACTGGAATGGTGGTCGTCATATAAGTGGGATCAGCTGTGGAGGAGTCTACTGTTACATTGCTCGGCCAGAATGTTGTTACTGGGAGTTCCATTGTTTGCATTATGCATTCATCATCTTTACATTCAAACACTGAAATAGCGTCATAAAATTAAAAATATCGTGCTGAAGTTTTAATTTATTCTCAATTTTAAACGTATAGAACCGTGTAATACTTATAATTTCATATATTTTCATATACTTCTTAAATAATGTGAATAGAAATTCTAATGTTATAGACTTATGGTAAACAGAGAAGTTATGTTGTGTTTCAGTTTTTACCACCCTATCTGTAGAAATGTACTTCAATTTCATTTGAATTCATTCAACTTTAATAAATTATATATTCACTATGATATTATTTTACTGCATTCATGCATTAAATTTTTTTGGACAATATGCATGTATTTGGAACCGGGACTATATATTTGGCGTCAGCTTTTAACTGACAAATCAGATGAAGGAGAATTGCATTATGGGTTACTACGGGTACTACAGGAATTTTATACCTAAAAAAAACAATAAATATAATGGCGATGAGAAAGGCACAAAGAACATTTTCACCCATTTCGTAAAGCAATTTCAATTGTTTCTTTTTGCCCTATAATTTCCATGCTAACAATGACAAGCAATTCATTTATTGCATAAACATAAAATTTTAGGTTTTCCTAACTCAGACTAGAAGGCGATTTGAGTCTGTATTGATTCCTTTGTTGTACTATCGGTGAATGCAATTGTCAGGTGGATTTCCTGGCAACAAAAACCTGTGATCACGGGTATTTTCCGTTTGAATGCTCAGGAGATGCTGCTCAGTTTCCTTACCCTTGAACCTCGTGTGTTCTGAACTTGAACTACACTTCATTATACATATTTTCTAGTAACAACAAGTTAAAAACGCCGGTGACATCTTTTATGGTTTCTAATCTTTGTATTTTTTTAGCTGAACATTTTTTGCAGCCCATTTAAATTCAACGATTTGTCAGTTAGTGCGTGCATGGTAAGATCTGTCGTGCGCATTGATAACAATATATAGCATATATGGCATACAAAGGTTGTCAGTGTAAATGATATTGTAAACACATTTTTTCTACCATGGTATCGGGCTATTTGGGGGAAATTGTCTCTAGAGAGCTCAAATTTTTGCAATAAATTATCACAAAAGCAAAGATAAAGTATATTGTTTTGGCTCTCCTTTTATCTACCGAAAAATGAAAGTACTTCAAAAAGACCTGGGAACACATATTTTTACAGGACATGTTTTCAAAATAAACAGACTATAACAATTTCCTGTTTACTGCCATTTTTATTTATAAAACCGGTTCTACCCTGTAACCTTTGAATGGGTCAACCTTAACCACGTGACTTGAATTTGAATCACAATAAAATTAGTAGGGGTGATAATAATACCGAATATTTACATTCCGTGTATTTTTCCTTAAGAAATTCATTAGAAATCCACGACATTCAAATTTCTATAACACACGCGAAACCTTGTCACCGCGCGATAGAATACACAGTAGGAACTATATGCATTTTCTATAATCTAGGAACACCAAAATGTACAATGTGTTGACTCAATTTAATCAAAAACTATCATTCTGTTAAATTAAAGTAAAATTACTACAAATGTGCGTTTGAAATCAATTTGTCATTTTTTTCCTTGTAATGTTTGTTTGCGTTATTTAACTTTGCAACGTCATCTGACGTCAAAAACGGCCCTTACGTCTATTGACCACGTCAGTTTTGAAGGGCGCTAAATTCACATTAAAGATTAACGAAATCAGTAATTATGTAGCAGGAAAATTAGAGAATGTAAATATAAGCATTGAATTCATATTTTTTGCTGTCTTCGGTCCTATAACACACCTGACCGTGCCGACAAATTTATCATACCGCGCGAACGCGCGGTATTCAATTTGTCGGCACGACCAGGTGTGTTATAGGACCGAAGACAGCCAGAAATATGAATTCAATGCTTAAATGTTTTGCGATTTTCAAAAGATATAATAATTGAAATGCAGAACATAGCATCAAATAAATACTTAAAAGAATGTTAAAACTATCGTAATTGTGTTATGCATGGAATCCAAGTTATTTCCCATGTGTAACTACGAGTAGTTATTCCTCCCAAATATACAATACTTTTCGAATTTTATACAGTACAATTGCTAAAACAACAAACACAAAGACCAATGTATTTTATTGTGAATCACAATCTTTACCTGGTTGCAAGGGCTTACTTCAAAGTACTGAAATTAATCTTTATTTATATTCAGTATTTAAGCAAAATATAAATTTTAATTTCGACTTTCAAAGCAAATTATTATTTGAATTACGAATTTACTGAAAAAAAAAAACGAATAACTAAATAAAAATATTATATGAGCAACATGGATTTCAAATTTAAATTACTAGTATCTTAGATATCACAAATTGTTTCTAGAGTATATATTTTTAATTAGGACTTTACTATTGCAGAGAAATTCATGTCATATCCCTATATCGAAATATGATATTAAAGTAACATCTTACCATCAGGACTGAGGGTTCCATTGTTTATGTTAAAGGCCTGAATCTGGACAAAAAACATGTCCATGTACATTGTATAAGTGGTCCCTTCCAGCTCTTCTGTTAATGTCATTCTCTGAGTGGATCCACATTGGTAAAGTTGGGTGTCTGATCCAAGTTTCAAGTCTCCTGTGTCCAACAAATTAATTGTAGCTGTAATTTATATATAAAAAATATTGGCATTGAAAATAAATTAAAAGATGAAATATTTACTCGTCTTTTTGTAGTTGTAGATTAAATATAACAGAATAAGAATTGTCAATATTACAGCTTACTTGATATGGGTGTTCCTGGAAAGAATTCAGTTGGAGCAAATGTAAACATGGAACTCATATTCACTGATAAATCAGGGTTAATATTGAAAGTGAAGGATAGAAAATCTTCATTGGAATTCGCCAATGTCAGCGCTGCCTGATATTCTCCAAATTTTGCACAATCCCCACTCTTCACAGTGAAATTATTTCCATCAAATGTTACTTCTTCCATTCCATTACTCAGAGTAAACAGAACATCCATCTTCACATCAATACAGGTTTCATTGTTGTCATAGGTGTACTTATATTCTGATCTTTTTGTTTGTGATATACCTTTATTTAAAGGAATGTTATCATCAAATTCTGATAAAATACTAGTAGTTACATGTCTATTGAGAAATGATTGGAGATAATGAGTTAAATTTTAATTTTTATCATTAAAAAATATGACTTATTCGCAACCCAAAATATTTAAATTTGAATAAATCACGTGTACAAAGAATGTTATTGCTACCACAAAGAAAGAAATATATATCCAAAATGGGTTATATATGATTTTAAAAAGGAAATTAAATCTCTTAGAAGAAATCTATATGTATGATCTGTACAATGTGAAAACAATTAATTAATAATTTCAACAGGATACTAGTAGTTAATAATTCTTACTTACTTACCCCATAGTAATATTGTCCTTACAAAAAGGTTTTTGTATGAATAAAGTGCCATCGAAATGTTGACTCAATTACAAACAAATCAAATCAGTTTTAAAAAGTTCCCATTGGGAAAAAGGAACCAAAATCAATCAGTAAAAAATACAAATTCAATTATACAGTTTAAAGTATATTAATAACGGCACATTGTTCTTCCTTTTCGTGCACCCATGACCCTGATAGTACAGGTAAAACCAACAAGTTACACTAGTAGCTAACACATTGCACAATAACTTATCTTACTGTTGTTTACATAAAAGTAACGTCATGTTTTATCTAAGAGTATAAACAATGGACTGATAAGAAAATAGCAACTTGAGATTTTTTATGATTGGGAATAATATTCATACATATTTGAATTTTGATACCGTGATTTATCTCACATGTACATTAGGTAATTGGAGGAAATGTTTCGTGTTCACGTATTATAGAATTAGCATAACATTTAAAGCGCAGCAAAATACCAGATTTGTTGTATTTGTCATACAAACAACACTGAAATTTTTTAGTTCTGTGAATTTTTCAACAGATTAAATAAATTTTAAACGATATCCAGGATAAATGTTTTTTTAATAAAATTGAACGAAAAAATCGAACTTCAGTCTTCAATTTCTTTTTTTTTCTTTCACAAAAAATAACAGTGTTCAATTTCTAATAAACGAAATTTTACTTACTTTTACAAAGGATTTTTGGGGGGTCAAGAATTGACATGATATAAAAATGTTTCCTTGGACTGTTCATGGAGTTTTGCTGAATTATACTGTTGTCTTTTTTGTTTTCTAATTATCTTGTATCTTATAATTTTATATTGAATTACCACTGCATTGAGCAAAACTTCCCAAACCAGTCTTCTGGTAGAAATTATTTTGATACACTCGTTAATTGCTTTTTAATTTACATTCCTAATCATAGAGTTAATTGTTCGTATTTCCGGCGTTTGTTGAAGACGTATACAGTAACCACCAGTACGACAAAAAGGAGACATCCCCCGGCTGCTGCTCCTATAGCGATGTACAATATGTTATGCCTGTCTTCATCTTTTTCACAATTGACTACCGCTATAAAGAAAGACTACCGCTATAAAGAAATTTAAACAATACATTGAAAATCAGAATTTTTCTGGCACACGTATATTTCAGCAACATATACGATATTCTGGAACACAATATATAATTCTATTCATTTTCTTTTATTTGGTGCATTTATTGACTTTGGAAAATATGTTGGAAATACTGGCAATAAACAAATTCGAACATATGAACGAATGGGTCTTCTTTTTACGACCTATCATGCCATAGAAAGTTAGAGACTTATTTATTGTATTATAATTATTTTTTATTCCCCCGCTTGAAAAGTGGGAGGGAATATAGTAATCGGTATGTCAGTCCCCCCGTCCAACCGTCTGTCTGTTACACTTTGGGGTACCCATCTCTTATCCGCAACTCCTCTTATACCCCTAAGTGAAATTTAATGAAACTTTCAGAGAATCTTTATAACAAGAAGGATATTGAGATAACGAACAGTATTCAATCTCAAAGTCCATAAAACAATACAAAATAAGAGCAGAGCAAACACGGAGGCACCGGGACATGAGAAGTGGGATCAGGTGCCATGGAGGAGCCCCTGCGAAATGATATTCATGATTTTAAGAACCTTTATGAGTTGTTCATAATTGTTCATGAATGGTTCTTAAAGGATTCTTAACAGGTTCATAAAAGTAGTTCATGAATAAAATTCATGAAAACATTCATAATTCCTAGTTCATGAACAAATGATGAACAAATATGAATATTGGTAATTTTCAGTTTAAAGAAAAAACTTAATAGTTCAAGGTAATGAATGTTCATGAATTTTCATGAAGACTAAAAATGTAAAAATTATTGTCACAAACGATCGCCTGAAAACACTCATTACTCCCATAATACAACTTTTGTATGCATATGCAATTGTTGAACAAGCCCCTGATTTAATAAATAACATGCTTTTGTTTTGATTTTGAAAGTATGGGATCAGAGCCGAGTAGGGTAACATAAGAGGTTAAAATCACTATTTTCTACTCTATGTAATTGATAACTTAGATTCTTCAGGATAATAAAACTCTGTTATGAACTGTCTAGAAGGGAGATTGTAATTAAATTATGATTAATTTATAAAACACTGCATCAATATTGACAGCATTTTTTTCTCATATTGAATTACTAATGTTTCTTCATCATTTAAATTCACAGGCCAGCTATATTAATATTGTACTTTAAATTATCTCATTTTTCATGAAACAACTTTGTTCGACCGAATTTTCTCTATTTGTCAAACTTTTAACAAGTTGTAAGAAAATGAAACAGACTTACAGTCTAGGTAAAATTTCATAATCTTCGTAAAACTGTATCATAAATTTATTGACAACTAAAAAATTATATCTCTTGTCCGTACTGTACCGTACCATTCTTGGGTCGAAAAGCTTTATATTTTGATGCAGTTATAAAGTCACATTTTTCTGTCCATAGTGTGTAAATGATACAGCACAGGCTGCATGGTTGTGAAGAAGCTATGATATGAACCACATTCGTATTTGGTAGTCTATCCTCCTATACACTTTCATAGCTCAGGGTACTCAGTTTGAGGGCGAGTGGTTCCAAGAGATATTTTTGTTGTCCTCTGATATGGAGGCGGCCATACTTGAATACGAAACTATAGCTCTACAGGTATAATGTAAAACAATCCAGTTCAATAAATGATATAACTTATATTAATTTTAAAAAATAATTTCAGCGAAAAATCATTCAGATAGTGTTTGTTATTTTTTGTTTAACAAAAATCTTGGCAATTCGAAACTATTTCTTAATTAGCTCTGCATGACACTTTTTAAAAGGCGCAAACTTTGAAACGCGCGAGACGTTGGAAAGTGAATCGGTAGAGTGGGAGGATTATTAGCGTAGATCGAGTCATTCTTTGTCAACCTTTGAAGAAATTAACAGAATACGAAGAAGGAATATCCAGAGGATCAATTTACTTCATAACTGCAGATATTAGTGGTGAGTTACAAAAAAATAAAGGCAATCGCTGAATCTGTGAGATATTTGTCAAGATGTTACTGTCTATTTGTAAGAGTTCAGTTATGTCCTTTTTAATGAAAATTTTGTCAAACTTTGTTATGAGTAAGGATCCAACCAAATAACGTTACATTTAATTATTAAAGATTGAAACATTCATCCTGTTCACCTATAACATCTTGAACATGGCGGGCAAGGGAAACATTCAAACAGGCTAAATTCCCGCTCGGAATGCTTTAAAATATGGCAGTGCCTATGATGCAGAATTAAATGAAACAAATATGCAAAAAAAAAAACAAACAAACAATTAAGTCTCAAGTTTTCACATTTATCATGTTTATGAGCATTTTCAGAAAATCTTTTTTCTTGTAGGGAAAAGAGAAGCAGTTAACAGATAATGTTGATGAGTTGAGATCAGAAGATTAAAAAACTCTGGCTGCCAAAAAAAAAAGAATATAAAAGATCCAGGCTCTTGAAGAAAAACAAAAGAAAGGAATGAAAATATGAATCGTAATCGATCAAAGGATCCAAGTGATGAAATTCTGAAAATTCCACACTCCTGGGAAAGCCAATAAGATTTTTTTATTTGACCACCTCTCCTCAAAATCCTTGAAAGCCCTTTTAGCTGATGCCCTAATTGCTGAACACACTTTTCTGCCAGACAGTGAGACTTGGATTAAAAATCATTCCATTTTAGGCATACACTTTGAAATACACTGAATAAGGAAGCCACTTTCCTCTTGACCAAGTAAGCCACTAAGGTTAAGGATTCTGCAAAGAGTCGCGTTTGAATTAAAATTTTTCATAATTTTACTAGGAATGAACTACATAATTTATTTATTACCATTATCACTTTTCAGAGTTGTTTACTTGAACAAAGATTTTGTTACGATGATTGGAAAACAAAAATTCTGTGAAATCTTTCAAGATGCTATTAAAATATTTTCTTTTACAGTTTTTCATTTTGCATAACTTTTTACATTTTTGTTTACAAAAAGCAAGAACATTCATGAATAGTTCATGAACATTCCTAAATAACTTTTACAAATTATTCATGAATAGTTCATGAAAATGCATTGAACCTATTAATATCATTCATGAACTTTTCTTGAAAATTCAAGAATATAATTCATGAACTTTTCTTGAAAGTTCAAGAATTATTCTGGATCATTTTGCAGGCATTTAAAAAATCCAAGTTTGTTCATGAACAACAAATAGTTCTTGAATATTCTTGAACTGGGTTTTCATGAATAAAATCCATGAAATCATGAGTGTCCAATTTTAACTTCATGGGATCTTCATGAACAATTCATGAGCTGATTCAAGAATATAATTCATGAACTTTTCTTAAAAGTTCAAGAATTATTCTTGATCATTTCGCAGGGGCGTGAGCATTCCTGCCGACCGGTCACACCCGCCGTGTACTCCTTGTCATGATCAGGAATTAACGGAAAAAATTCGTTGTCAATTCAGTGTATAAATAATGCACTAACAATTGGTATGAAAAACGTGAGTCAGCATTTGACTCAATGATAAATTGTTTTTGCTGACAAGGTCATTGAATCGACAATAGAACTTACGAAATAATGATTTTAAACGAGACTGTTTCATCAACTTGCTTGTCAATAATTTACCTCATTTCAGAAATTGTTCATACGTAGAGCATGCTCTTGCGTATCGAATCAGTTGGGATATATGTACTCCGTATGCAGGTGATGAAGGTATATTGCTTGATAAGTAAGTGAGGGAAGTTGATGATAGAAAAGTTAAAGTCATCACGTTTATCATATAGCTTGGTTGTTAGATTACCATTAACGTCTTTTTCAAGTAAAATATCCAAGTATGAAACATATTGCATTGTGCACCTCCTATTTTTCTTTTGTATGTTGCAGTCTGCAATTTTTTTCCCAAAAATTCATACTTATAGGCAAAAAAGTTTATCTAATGTAAATGAATTATATTTTTTGAAGTT